GCAAATTATCCCTCTTGAAAATATCATTTCATGTGAAAGAGATCTCTCCTAAAGATAACTATACATTATACCAGTCACTGTTACAGAGTGTTTACCTTTTCAACGGAAAGATTGGATATGGATATTTCGTCTTCACTCATGAGTGTTTAGTTTCACTGCTAATGAGAAGTGTTAATGAGCCATTTGTTCACAACATGAGACCAAGCAGATTGAGCCCAAAGGGAAATATCTCTTCCTCGAAGGTGATAAGTTACTTATTTCCTCTGCCGCAATCAGTTCACACAGATAACCATTTGACTATGTGCATTCTCTAGCTAATTATTTATGAAACCATTCTCCCCAGTAACTGGTTCACCAAATGTTGATTAAAAAGAGGAATTTTTGAGTGCGACATTTTGCTATATAGTCATTTGTTTTAAACTCACCATGTGGTAGAAAACATCAGTGCAGAGATTAACTTGCTGAAAATATTTGAATACACCTGTCGTTACATGTAGTTGCAGTATTTCAATTGACGTTCCGTCCCTCTTGTAATTAAAACATGGATCATCCACAATGTTGTTTATTGCATTTTGTCAGTGTTGGAAAAAATGAGATTGAGATCTTTCAAAGACTGTGGTGCACAGATTGAAATGAATAATATTTTGAGGCTCTGACTTACTCCTTTTGTTTATTTTTTATTTAAAAAAATAACAGAAAAAAAGGGTTTTCATTGCTTCAGATGCCAGGGGTTTCTGCTTTATATAAGCCAGCTTCCTGACGTGTTCTTCTATACCAATTCAAAAAGTTAACAGCTCTTTCTTATTATTTTTCCACATCATTTACTGCGGTATCAGTAATTTACTTGAAATTTCCATTTTCAACCAACTTTGACAGATTGATTATCAGGATTTCCACCAAATTAGGTTTGAAAATGGGAGACATTGTGTTTTCAAGTTTTGACTTTCTTCAATGAGGTTATAACCTTGTAAGATTCAAGTTCAGAAATTGCAGAATGATGCTTTTGATAATTTTCTGAGACTTTGTTTTAAACCAATCATTTGGAGTGGATTTTTTGCTGATCCAACCAGCACTTGATGTACTTTCCAGTACTTTTAATTCCCAGATAGATCTTGAGCTATCTATAACTTACTATTTATTTGTCGTTAATATGCTCACTAAATAACTTACCTCTAAAAGATAAAAGTGATATGTGCACACAGGCGTATGGTTGAGGTATCTATACAGTGGTTTAGACAAAGGTTGTACCACAGAATATAGTAATGGTGTATGATACAATGCTGATTAGTATTACAGGACTGATATTAATAAGTTGAACAGATTTGCTTGATTGAGGTTCACAATGTTTCAGCAAGAGGGAAGGAGAAAGCATGACAACACATGTTTGTGGGGTTTCCTTTTATCGCACTGTTCAAAACACCTTGAGTTGCAATCAA